GTGTATATAAATATATCCTTTTCCAGATGAAGACAAAGATATTCTAGGGAACATCATTATTCTGGTTGTTTCTCTTCCTATCGTTTTTTAAAAATGGGTTTATTGAGACATAATTAACATACTATACAATTTACCCACTTAAAGTATACAATGAGTTTTTAGCATATTCAGAGTTGTGTGACCGTTATCATTATCAATTTTAGAATTTCAACACCTATTTTTTTTTTCAAGATGAAGTCTCACTCTGTTGCCCAGGCTGGAGTGCAGTGGCACAATCTCAGCTCACTGCAACCTCTACCTCCCAGGTTCAAGCAATTCTCCTGCCTTAGCCTCCTGAGTAGCTGGGACTACAGGCATGCACCACCAAACCCAGGTGATTTTTATTTTTAGTAGAGATGGGGTTTCACCATGTTGGCCAGGCTGGTATCGAACCCCTGACCTCGTGATCTGCCACCTTGGCCTCCTAAAGTGCTGGGATTACAGGCGTGAGCCACCACGCCTGGCCTGAGAAATTTTATACTCACCAGCAGTCACTTCCCATTTCCCCCCAGCTGGGCGCCCCTCTCCTCTCCAGCCTTAGGCAAACACTAATTTATACTTTCTCTATATATAGATTTGCCTGTTTTGGACATTTCACATAAATGGAATCACACAATATGTGGTCTTTTGTGATTGGCTTCTTAGCACAATGTTTTCAAGGTCTTCACATCATTTTAAAATAGAAATATAATCAGCTTAAAGTATATGTAATAGTTAAGCTGGGAGCAGTGGCACATGCCTGTAATCTCACCACTTTGGGAGGCCAAGAGGAGTACATAGCTTGAGCTTAGGAGTTCAAGACCAGCCTGGGCAACACAATGAGACCCCCATCTCTACACAAAAAAATACAAAAATTGGGCAGCCGTGATGGCATGTGCCTATTGTCCCACCTACTTGGGAGGCTAAAGTGGGAGGATTGCTTGAGTATAGTACAGGATGTTGAGGCTATAGTGAGCTGAGATTGCACCACCGCACTCCAGCCTAGGCGACAAGCAAGATACTGTCTCCAAAAAAAGCAATAGTTAAGAGCACAGACTATGGAGCCAGACTGCCTAAATCTATATGCCAGCTCCATCCCTTATTAAAGCAATTACTAAACTTTTTATTAGAACAATTTCTTAATTACTTACTTGCTTCTTTGGAGCAAGTTACTTAACTTCTCTGTGTCTTAATTTTCTTATCTGTAAAATGGGTTTAATAACAGAACCCAGCTGGGTAAGGTAGCTCACACCTGTAATCCCAGCACTCTGGGAGGCTGAAGCAGGTGGATTGCTTGAATCTAGGAGTTCAAGACCAGCCTGGGCAACATAGTGAAACCCAGTCTCTACAAAAAATACAAAAATTAGCTGGACATGGTAGCATGCAACTGTAGCCCCAGCTAGTCAGGAGGCTGAGGTGGGAGGATGACTTGAGCCCAGAACGTCAAGGCTGCAATGAGCTGTGATTACACCATCTACTCTGGGTGACAGAGCAAGACCCTGAGTCAACATAAAAATAAAACCTGCTCATAGGGTTGTAATGAAATTAATATATGTAAAGCACTAAAAATAGTACGTCACAAATAGCAAGCATTACACAGTGTTGGCTATCATTATTATTATCTGTATTAAAGAGAGGGGAATTGTAGATAGACACTCAAAACCTTTTTCATAGCATTGGGATGTATTTTGGTATTTAATATGTTTAAAAATGAATGTCTCAGGAATGGAAAATGAGTACTGACTGCTACTGGTTACGAGGTTTCTTTTGGGGGCAATGAAAATGCTCTAGAATTAGTGGTGAATGGGTGTACAACTTTGTGGATATACTGAAAACCACTGAATTGTATATTTTGAAAAGGTATGGCATGTGAGTTATATCTCAGCTTTTTTTTTTTTTTTTTTTTTTTTTTTTTTT